GAAAAAGTAAGATATCCATACCTGAGTGTTTGCCACTTTCACTTTCGGCTCGGGATGCAATTTTACACCCAGGTCAGAATATCATACTTTACTCCCTTGGTCAAAAATGCATCTTTTTAGAGTTTACTCCAAAAAATAATAGTCAGAAAATACTCCATTATCGATATATGTATATCAAACTACTTCTTGCGACTGAAAACTTCGAAATTGATGATAAAAGATTACAAACATCTGTAATCATTTAAAATACCTAAAACGTTACATTTCTTATAGTCTACCATTTGTTCATATGTCAAAATAAATTTCTTTCTCTTCTCGAAAATTCGAAAAAAAATATTGATTTTTCTTCCTGTAATTAAAAAGAAAAAAGAACAGGCAAGTAAATGAAACAAATGTTAACCAATGTCGTCATCTCGAAAGCACTTCCGGAGAACAAAAAGATAATCCTAAGAATTAATCCTCAACATATTGGTCTGTCTATTCATTATTTATTCTTTACTACTTCTTTTTAACCTCTGAAAACTTTCTCATTTTTTTTTTTTATTCTTCAAATTGTTATTTAAAGCAAAAGGTCGTCACAATGTATTCAAAGATATCTGCTTCATTACTGAAACCTCTGTTGACAAGACTCAACTGGCAGTATAACACAAGATCTAAGCGATAAATAAAGTGTGACACTTCTATGGCCCAATTGAATATTTATTATTAATGAGTCATCAATGAGTACTATTTTAAAAATTCAAATATTACACTTTTTGAAATTGATGCACAATAAAGCGTTATTTACTTATCGTCTTGACTTCGTGTGATATATTATAAGTTGGCCGCAATCGTCAGATAAATGGTTACTAGCATACTATTTAGTTCGATAGTGAGCTACTTCCTTTCCCACGTTTCCTATCAGTTACTTACTACCTGTTACATCGCAATAGCACGTACATGTTAATCGCTTACTTTATTTCGCAAAAGTCCATCCCTCGGATTTGTAATGAAGAATATATCTATCAAGAACAATGAATATGAATTATCATTTCAAAATTGTTATCTGTACAGGCTGTACTTTTTTTTTATTTATTGTAATTAAAGTAGTAATAAAAATACTACAATTTTATTATATTTAATAAAATAAATTTTTTGTTTTACGTATTTTTTGTATTAATTAATATCCAGAAAAGAAATAAAAAAGCACAAGAATCTAACACACAACAAATGAAAAACAAGATACACTTTTAGGAAGTGACATTTTATCGTTTATGTGCGTCCAGTAATGATAGAATTAATTTTTTTAACATCTAATCTTTTTTTTTCACAGTAGTGCAATGTTTGTTTAAGATTAAAATATATTTTTTAACAGTTAGAAAGATTTTTATATCTATTCGAAAAATTTTATTGCACTGTAAGAAACTATGTTTAATATTTAACATACGATTTTTATATATCATAAGATATTTATTAATAATCGATAAATAATTTTAATTATCACAAAATCGTTTATCAATTTTTACGAAAATGATCTATATAAAAAAATTATTATTTTGCCACAGCGATAAGAAAATGTAATTTGAGAAATTTTTAAATTTTGTTAAAAATATAATGTTGTCTAATTATTAATTAATTAATTAATCCTACATTTTTGCAACACTCTGATTTAACTGGCCTTAAAAATCTTTGAGTAAAAATCTGATGCTAAGTCTAAGCACTTATGCTCTAGATAAACATTGGCAATAATTTGTGAATTCTAATAAACAATACAGTGCCCTCTAAAAGTTAGTTGAAATATTTAGGTAAAAATTCTCAGGTGTTCTTTCTTTTTTACTTGTGAAGTATTCTAGAGCACAGTGAGTTAAAATGAAAACTGTGTTGTTTATTTATTATTTTAAAAATTAAATAAGATGATTGGTTGAATATAATTACAATTCTATTCTATTTGTTTTTATTAATAAATCTATTTATTCATAGAAAATACTAAAATTTATTTACTTTATAAAAATAATTCTTGATACAAAATACGCTATTAATGAATGCAATTATGTTTTTTTATGTCCAAAAAGTATAAATTTTGTCATGGTTTAAATAATTTTTTTTTATTTTTAAAATTACTAATTACTTTCAAACGGAAATTATTGTATTTCTAAAAATTTTTATTTTATTCTATTATTCTTCTGTTTCATGAGTAAACAATAAATTGTTTAAAAATTATATTACAATTTTTCTTTTACAATTTTTTTCATCTAAAAATAATTTTGTAAAAATATTTTTTTGAAATGCATCTATGAATAAAATTCATTTGAATAACTCAACATGCATATTATTCATTATAAACACATTTTAAATAGAATTCATATGTCAATATAAATGACTGAAAATTAGTTAGATGACTAACCCTAACCGATAGGCCATTCATTTGTAATCATTGTCATCTAAAAATAAAAAATAGCATGATTAATATTCTAAAAATATTCTAAAACTCGAATGAAAAAAAAAAAAAACTAAAATCGATATTTCACATAATTTTTTACGACATTAAAATCAATAGTCATGCAAAAATGCAAAACTTTATGACTTAACATAATATATCCTAAAAAACAATCTAAGTAAAGAAATTTACTTTTATCACTGATTTCATTTCGATAACAAAAATTCCGCTGCTTTTTAATTACTATTGCAAATGAATTCATTTACTTGGAATACTCAAAGCACTAAAGAAGCATAAAATTATTAGACCATTAAAAAAAAAAAGAAAAAAAAAAGCACAAAGTTTTTTTTCCTCAAATACCTGGAATGAGATTTATCGAAAACGGAATGCATTTATTTGAAGACAGGGTGATATCAATGCCATAAGTTTTTTTGTCACAGTCCCGTTTGCAAGTCAAACGAGTCATTATTCCTTGACCTGACCCAATGAAACCCCTTTCATATTCATTAGCATTACTACGTCTTGGACCACGACATGAGAGAAAGAGAAAAAGAAAGACAAAGATAAGTGAGCAGGACAAACTTATGGTTCTGCATAACGCATATATCGATTGCAGTGTCCCAATATAATACAAGAAGACATGCTTTCAATCACGTTTATCGACGCGAAATCATTGAGTTCCGGGCGATTGGTCTTAGGTATCACCACATCTTGGACGAAGTTTCATTTGCATTTCGATGAGACCCACTTGAATACACTCCAACTGCTGTAGACAAGAATGAGATCCTTGTTTGATTATACCTCAGATATATAATCTTTTTTGATCCGACTTCCTTTTACATTGATTCGTTTCTGTTAACTCAATGTTATTTAAAAACTCTTGATACATATTTTATCCACGTTCATATTCATCTTAATGTTACACCAAATGTTCAAAACAATTGAATATTTTATTACTCGTATGCTGTGTAAACTACATATTACACTTCATTCTCCCATTTTAATATCAACAATGAAATATTATTGCTTTGATTAGATCTCAATTATTATTATCTTGACGTTTACCTTCTGGTTTAATTCGATTTTATAACAATTGTTGCGTGTTATTGCACGTTATTTAATGCTGATATAAAAATGATTTTTGCAGTATTGAAGGTTTGTGGATCAACAGATGAAGAAATCATCGTTGAAGTGTTGATAAAAGAGTTAAAAGTCTAATTGCATTAATGCATAGCTTACTTTTTACAATCAATTAATTTTTTGTGGTCTTATAATACCTTGGATGGAATCAATGTTTAGTCTCATTTTAATTTTAAATTTATTTTATTTGCCATTTTTAGTAGCTCGTTTGGCTTCAATAATTATTGATCTTAGTTAACATGATTTTAAAGGAGAGACAAAACATATATGATATATATATATATATATATATAAAAGGTCATTTTAATTATTCACATGATTTCGAGACTTATTTTAGGAGTTAAAAATGTAATTACAGATAGTGTATAGTTGATTTTTAAACATTTCTATCTAGTTTACAATTTACTACACGCCTTTCTATTTTGTTTATGGCATTTTATATTGAGTTTAATTTATGTATTTTATTTTAAAAACACTTTGACATGTACTTTCTAAAACATTTATCAAAAAAAAAAAAATAAGCAATATAAATTTTAAATCATTTGTTTTTCTCAAACTTTACATGAAAAAATAATTTTATAATTTTGAAATATTTTTTGGCGATTCAAATGTCAATTTTCCTGAACAATTGTTTAATTATTTGTTTGTTTTAGTTAATAAAAGGGAATTATAGGTATTTCGCAGTCCCTTTCAACAACGACTATTTCAATAGAACAAAGATTTAATTAGTTGAGAAATTTATTCAACTTAAAAACTTCTGGCCACTATTGTTCCCAGAAATTGTTTGAAGTTATTCTTCATTTTAATTAAAAAATTCTTGAAAACAAAAAAAAAAAACAAGAAATTATCACACGGTTTAATCATGAAAGAAATTTTAATTGTCGAAAAATGCATTTTTACAACAGAATGAATGCATTTAAATACAAAACATGCTTTAAGCTCGCCATGCATATGCTTGCTAATGTTTTACGATTATTTTTTCAATGGTACCAAGCGTGTAAAATCATCAGAAAAATATTAGCTTTGATTGTAACGTGTAGTGCTTTTAGTAATGTTTATAATCGTCTTTCATTCTGTCCCTTCACTATGGACACACTTATTGCCAGTGAACGTTGAAGGTTTTCTTTCGTTATTAAATTCAATGAGAGATATGTTAGGTTAATCCACTTGCACGTTTCAACTCTTTCTCGCGACCCAAAAGTAGAGATATAATTTTGATTACATAAGAATCTTCTTTTTTCTTTCATCGCATGAGCGTGCAGCCGGATAGAAACGTTTTAGATATATTGTTTATGACACGAAATTCTTATGCAAAAAATTACAATTCCAACTTTGCTGATAATTTTTTTCATTATAATCATTAAGAAATTAGAAATAAACATTCATAAACACATTAATGTTTGATGGATAATTATTTGTAATAATAATTATTATTATTTTACAGCAACAAGATGCCAACAAAGATGATGAAGGTGGAGGATTCTTTTGGGATCCATTGTCAGCAAAAAATCATGACGTCAAAAGCAATAAAAGTCAAGTTAAAGAACTTCAGGAGCAACTTATTCAATCAAACTTGAGAGTGCATGAATTGGAAGAGGAATTAGAAAAGTATAAAAGGAATTTTGATAAAAAGGATCCTATTTCTGATGGTCATCAGAAAGCAGAGCTTCTTCGAGCTAAACAAGATATAGTAAATCGTATAATTCAAATCGGAGAAAAGGTAAGATTCTTTATCCATGAATAATATAATTTTTAAAAAATATGCGTCTATAGAAATTATAAATTTTTGATTTTAACAATTAACTGAATAACTATGAAAAAAATTAAATAATGTAATATTGTTGATAAAAGTAATTTTAAAATGTTTTAAAAACTTTACTATAATAATAATTTTAAAACACAGTTAGATGATGTGTCATGTTGATAAAAGTGAGTTAATAATAATTTTTTACAGGGTCGAGAAGCGGAAAAAAATATGAAGAAATTACAGTTGGACGAGACAACATTCATTAATGATTTTCGCGCGGCAATATCAAAGCTCGAATGTCATGAACAGATTCATTTGATTCGTTGCGCACTGAAGGCATTGGAATTCGACAATAGTGACGGTGAAATGAAGGAAAATGAAGAGAAATCGAATAACTTTGGAAAAAGAAAGAATACACTAAGTCCAAAAATTTATAGTGACGAGTCTAATACAAATGGAATTCACAACAGAGAAGCAGATTTATTGGCGAAAGTAAAAGCGTTACAAGAGGAAAATAAAAATCTTTCATGTGGTATTGAAGAGCTTGATCAACAGCATGCTCAATCAATCGGTATGTCACTCTTTTTTTTTCAACTACTGTTAGAATCAATTCTATAAGAATCATAAACACTACTGTACACAATACCTTTCCAATAAAATTATAAATTATAATAGCTGATAATAATTTATTTATTTTCAGAAAAAATACTGGCTCTTAAAGAAGAATTGCAGAAAAAACATAAAGTACTCCAAACTGCGTATGAGTCTCTTTATGTTGACTACAATGCTGCTCAAGAAAAACTTTCTCTTCTGGAAACGGAATTATCTAATAGTAATTCTAGCACGGATCAGAAGATAATTCCAAAATTAGATAAAGATAATCAAACTGATTTATTGATAACAAATATTATAAGAAATGATGAAAATAATTCGCTAAATGAAACAACAAATGAGAACAAATCGATTCAAACAGAAGAGGAAATGAAAATTCAAGATACAACACTGAAATTATTAACAAAACGTGTCAATGAGATTGTAAAAAATTCGAATATTCAATACGAAGAGGGAGAACACATTTTTGAAATAATTGCTAAGCAGTTGGTAGATACTGAGTGGAAGAAAAATACATTAGAGCGAAAGATATCCGAACTCACAGAAGAATTAAAGCAAGTAAATGACGTTAAAGAGAGTTTGCAAATAGAATGTGATGAACTACAAAATCACGTGGAGTCTTTGGACTTAGAAATTCAGCATATGAAATCCAATTTACCATCAATTCCCGAGGCCAGTGAAGAAAGAGTTGCATCTTTAGAATCAGAAATTGAGTCTATGTCTCAAAGAATAAAACAACTCCAAAATGATAATGAAATATTGAATTACAAAAATTCTGAATTAATAACTGCCATGAATAATGTCGAAGGTTCATTGAGAAATCAAGAAAATTTAGAAGCTGAGGTTCGAAATACTAAACAACAACTAGAAATAGCTCAACAACAATTAGCTGGAGTATCTAAAAATGTAGAGAATAATGAAAATATGATGGAAGATCTTTCTAGAAAACTACATGCAGCTTTAAATGAAAACAATGAATTGAGGAAAAGAAATGATGCATTAAGTTCTCGAGAAAGACAAATGACAGAACAGTTAAGTATGTACGAGGCAAAGTGCAAAAGTCTAGATGAAAATATCGAATTGATTGAAGAGCTTAAATTGGACATAAGTAATGTAAAAAAGGAATTACAAAATTCTATAGAAAATTCTAAACGACTAGAAAATGAATTGACTTTAGTTTATGATGCAAAGAAGGAAATTGAAAGAGATATGTTAGCTTTGTCTCAAGAAAACGAACAATTGGAAATGGAGCTATCAATTATCAAGGAGCATGGGGTAATAAATGAAGATAACAATTTGGTGAAGGAATTGAGGGATCAAGTGGAAACATTACAAAGGGAGAAAAATGATCTTGAATATGATTTAATAAACATGAGACAAGAATTAGATATCGCATTAAATCGAGTGAGTACAGCTGAACAAAAGAATGAAAAAATATCGAACAAAATACAAAATAGTCAAGAGTGGAAAGATAAAGTGGACCTTTTGAAAAGAGAACTCGTTGCCTTACAACAAGAGCATACATTTTTAAAGGAAGAATCTACTACAGAAAAGGCAGAATTAGAGGAGGTGAGAAATAAATTGAAAGATTGGGAAGAAAAATATAACTTATTACAAAAAGAATTACAAATGAGTGAAGTAGAAAGGAAAAAGTTAAGTGATAGTTACGATAAATTAAGATACGAATTGGAAGATGTTAAAGATAAAGAAAAGGACGAAGTTAGAAAATTGAAAGAAATTGAAAAGAATTGGCTTATGAGTGAGGAGAAATGTAGAGATTTGTCGCAACAATTGAATAATTTTCAAGCAGATCATGAGTTAAAGTTGACGGCTTTAGAGCAGAATAATAAAAAATTAGAAGAAGTTATGACAGAAAATGAAACATTTAAAAAAGAATTCGTACAATTAAGGACTGAATCTCAAAGATTAAATGAACTTAAGTCTATTGTTGAAGAAAAACAACTCTTAAACGAAGATTTAAACCGTAAAGTAGCAGAAATTGAAGCATTATTAGCAGAAAAAAATATAGAATTAAAGAATTTACAAAAAACTCGTACAGAGGCAGAAATGTATCAACAAAAGTGCGTAGAATTTGAAGAAAAAATAAGAAATATTTATGCTGTGGAAGAAAGGTGTCAGAAACTCGATGAAGAAATAGCTTTTCTAAGGACAGAAAATGAAAAATTAACCACAAGTCATACAGAATCAGAGAAAAGCCAATTATTAGAAGAATTAAATCAAAAAATAGCTGAAATTGAAGTATTGAAAGAAGAAAAAAATAATTTAGAAAAAAATTTAGCAGCTAGTCAACAAGAATTACAAGCAACGATAGAAAAATCTCAAGAAGCAGCTCAAATGTCAAAAGAAACAATAGAAAATTTATCAGAAATCATAAAAAAGAAAGATGATGAAATTCAAAACATTAAATCAACTACTGCATTAGATTACAAGCAACAAGTTACTGAAAACGAGAGTGTTTTGACGTCGTTAAGGGCTGAACGTGACGAACTTGTTAAACTTGTCCAAGTGAAACATAACGAAAGTATACAGTATCATAAAGAAATTGAAAGAATGACACAGTTATTTAATGAACAAGTTTCTACTTTGCAATCAGTAGTGGCAGATCGGCAAAGAGCTGAAAATTTAGTCAAAGAAAAAGAATCTGAAGTTTTGTGGGCACAAAATGAACTGCAAGTTGTCAGACAACGACTTAAAAATCTTGAAGAATCAACGAATTACGGTGAAACTTGTAATATACCTGAGCATTCAACTAAATTATCTCAATTAACAACACTAAATGAGAAATGTAATGCTCTGGAAGCAGCTCTTGTTAAAGAACAATCAAGTAACAGAATTTTGCAAAATCAATTAACAGAAAGTCAACAGAGAGAAAATGTAGCGGCGAAAAATTTGGAAAGATTACAAGCACATTTAGTTGAAATAGAAGAAAATCACACAGAAGAAGCTTTACTTATGGAACAAAGTAAAAAAGAATTAGAAACAAAACTTATACAAGCTGAAGAAGTTCTTAAAAACAATTCTACCGTATATACGTCAGCTAGTATTCGAGCTAATCAACAGGTTGAAACTCTTCAACAACAAATGGCTTTAATCATTCAACAGAGAGATGATATTCAAAATAAATTATCAGCTGCTGAGGATAAAGTTTTGGCACATACTGCATCTTTGACAAATTTGCAAATTGTTTTGGAACAGTTCCAAAGAGGTAAGCATAAAAATTATTTCGAGTTTTTCGAATCTTTAGTATAGCATTTAGAAGTTGACATAATCAGTTGTATCAATCATGAACTGGAATTATATTTATAATTAATTTAACTGGAATTATTTTTATAATTAATTATATTTTATTTTCAAATATGAACGTATCATGTTCAATATCATCAACATTAACTAACCAATAACTCTAAAAATTTATTGAAGATTGAAATTATGAAATGTATAATATTCATAATCCTATGCATTAATGCTTTTTATTGGTTATTAAAAATTCTTCGAATATTTCAGATAAAGAAAATGATATACGCAATGCAACAGAAAAAATCCGACAGCAATTAAACGATTCTTACAAGAAACAAGAAGAGCTTAATGGAGAAATTGCTAATTTAAAAGTATGTTCATAAAGTATGAAATATTATCATTAGTTTATCTAAAAATTAAAAAAATATATATTTTTTAAATATAATATTCAAGTATATTCATTATTTATAAATTAAATAATGTCTATTAACAGCATCAACTGGCAGAAGCAAAAGGATGTTTGCAAGCAGCTTCTCGATTGAGTGAACAGCTGGACAAAAAAACTGAAAGAATTCAAAAACTTAATGAAGAAGGTACTACATATTTATTTATTTCTGATATATTTCTATACTCCATAATTATTATTAACTAAGTAATAGAGGCTAATTTTTTAATAATTGAATCCGTCTTCTACTTTATGTTTATTCACATTTAATCACTAGTTTTATTTAAATAGTTTTATTTAACACTGCATTGGTTTTGGTGTTATAGTGCTCGATTATGCATGGATACTCAGTTTCGCACAATTATTTTACAATATTAGATTTTTTTAAATGCACTTGAAATAAACAATTAAAAGTACTTGACAACTGCATGAGAATCAATAATCAAGAAAGGGTTAAAAAATAAATATTAATTCATTTCAAGCTTTATAATAACCATTTTGAATAATTAAATTTCTCAATAATTAAAATTTTCATGTTAACATGAATTAAAATTGTTTGTGTTGAATAAACAATATTAGATATTCAATCAATTTATAAAATGTTTGTAAGCAAGTAAAAACAAACTGATAAATTAAATAGAAAAATAGTGTTTTTACTATATTTCTATTTTATGTTAAAATTAAATATTTATTAAGAAATAATTGATTCAAATAACTGAAGAAATATAAATAGCCAGATAAGATATAAAAGAAATATTTGATAATAAATATTAACTAGTATTAGTAGAATAGTAATAATGATAAAATAAGAGTGTCACTAGATGTATTGATAATAATAACAAAGAAATAATTTAATTGTGACTAATCATAATAAAATACAGAGCAAATGCACATTTGATCTGGTTTCGTAGTCAAATATCAGCTGGTAATTCTGGGATTTTTAGTATAACGCAGGATTCTTGCTGGTATCTGGTTACGGACTAGAACGTCGCCTTTGCACACTAAAAATCGTATCACGCATTTACCATTTGGTGTTGGTTTTTTTTTTATTGAATTATTTTGTTTATAATTTTTAATTAGTTTTGTATTTTCAATTAATGTTAATGATCAATGTAATGTCTTATTAAAAAAGCTGTAAAATATTCAAGTAATAATATTTTCTACTAAAAATATACTAAGAATAATAAAAATAAGAGATAATTTGTATGGATTGGGTATTATGATTTACTTATGAAATTTTTTATTTGTTTGTATGTTAATTCAATTAAAAAACTTTTTTTCTAATGGAAATTATAATATAGGCATTCAGCCTTAACTAATGAATATCAATTAGCATGTAATAAAATTTGTTTTTTTAGAAAGTTTTTAGTAAAAAAAAAAAATTTGGTAGTGTTAGAGTGTGTAATCTCATGAGGTAACTGTGAGTGGTATCATTATAGATGCTCATATTACCTCGTAGGATTTCCCACCCGCTACCACTTTCCTTCAAGAATACTTTTTTAATCTGTTATTTTTTATATCATTTTTCACAAAATCATATTTTCCATTGAATTTAAGTTAAAAATTTCTCACTCAAATGAAAAAGAAAGCTGACAATTACTTGAAATAAAAGCATTGTCATCAATCAATCTTTTAAAAATGATTTTTGGTCTAAATGATTTTAAATTAATCAATAATTATTCATTTTTGACTCGAACTATATATCATCTTTTATTAATACTGTTGGTATTACTTATGAAAAATATCACATGAATTAATGAATCATAGCATGATAGCTCAATATAGAATGGCATGATAGAAGAACAGAATGCCGCATGAATTATTTAGGCATAGGTGTGAGTATTACATCAGGTACTGGTGTGCAAGAGACAACCAGTGCTTGTGTTATACTTGCACTCGTGTCTTTCTTAGTCGTCGTCTGAATCTGCAAATGTGGATGCAACATAAACACATGTATGTCGAAATAAGTATCACTATCAGTAATATTATTATCTTCGAGGAAGTTATAACTATTAATTTAGACTTCTATAATATAATAATAGATTAAATACTATTTTATTACAATCATTTATATTTCTTCATCTTCATTTCTAAATTTCTTGACAAAAAGATTAAGAATTATTAACAATTTTTATTTATTTTCAGTTACGAAATTGACTGAACTTGTTAATACAGCTGAAGAAAGAATTCAGAAAGCAAGAGAGAGTGGTGAAGGCAAAGTTGATAAGTATGTACAATAGTTATTTAGTTTTAAGTTGTTTCAATAACTATTTGTTATTTAATATTTGCATACTTAAGTAATAATAGTAATTCATTTCTCTTCTGTTACCTGGAGAGTTTTGACAAATCATTTAAAAGTATTTATACATAGAATAATATGAACTACCTCTCTTTTTGATTTTTTACTAATTATATCTCTCAAATTCTACTCTAGTCCTTTTTTTAATAAAAATTAAACTTATCTACTTTGGTTCACAATTACTACCGAATAACAAAAAAGATTGACTAACATATTGGTGTTATTTTAAGATACTTTGAATATTTTCTATATTACATACATTGGAGTTGATTCAGTATTATTATTATCACTGACAATTCAACAATTTATTGTTAATATTTAATGTCTACCATACTTTTTAAGTAAAAGATAAATATAAAATCTAAGTTTTAACCATAAAAAAATAAATAAATACAAAAAAAATCTATTCTTAAATATAAATTATCGATTATTGTAATTATTAGTAATTTAGATTACACTGATTATTTTTCATTATCATACTTTTTCTTATTACTACTTATAATTATGACCAATAATCATTTGAAGTAAATATTTATTGATCTTATTATGGATTAATTTATGCTTTTTATGATGCTTTATTACATTCAAGTCTTAGGTTTAAGATCACAGCAATTTTTCTAACATTTCATACTTTTTGTTTTTTTCTAGAAATTTAATGAAGAATCTTCTCTTGGGCTTTTTGGCAGCATCAAATACAGACAAATTATCCGTACTAAAAGTTTTTGCGACAGTCTTAGATTTTAATGAAGCTGAACGTGAAAAATCTGGAATCAACAGTTCAACATCACATGGAGGATGGTTTTCAGGGCTGCTAACCAGTGGTGGAGGTCCACCCACAAAGGTCAGTTAATTATTCACCAAAAATATTATTTTTTAATTTGATTTATCATAATGAAAGTATAGATAAAAAAAAAGTAATATTCCTTTTCAGGATCAAGAAGCATCATTATCAGCAGCATTTATTAGATTCTTAGAAAATGAATCAAAACCTATGTCTTCGGTTCCAGCCTTACCTATTTCTAATACAGTAAGTCTGATTTTTCTTCATTGAAATATTTATGTTGAACAAATTAGAATCTTTTTTTAAATAATATATGAATTTATTACCGTAAATATTTTCTTTTTAGCAAATTTCACGGCCTGGACACAGTCGACAACATTCGACATCTTCCAATCAATCTGGCCTTTTACTATCAAACGTTACACTTCCAGCATTTCCTGACTTTATACCGTCAAGAAATACAGGATCGATATTGAAAGAAGTACTAAAAGACAGTTGATACTAATTTATTATTTCAAGTATATTGAGAATACAAAATATTACAATTATTTTTTGTAAATATGTAAAACAAGATTTGCAAAAATAACTATTCTCAACCAATATCGAAATTTATATTAATTAAAATTTCATTGTGTAAGTTATTTTTTAATTAATGGCAATGCAATGAAATATTGTATAACATATTTAAAATCATAAATTTATTCCACATAGAAATGATGTATTTAACAACGAATTAAACCATGTTGGCTGTCATTGGCTAAGTTAATTAATTAAAAAATTATTTATATTTTATTTTATGGATTAAGTGATATGACTTATTTCAGTGGTGATAGAAAATAACTTGATAAAAAAATATTTTAAAAATCAAATATAACAGAAAATTAAACAAAAAATAAATTAGTAATAATGAAGACAGTCAAAGTGATGTATAACAATATTGTCTTTAATTAATATTTCTTAAATTAAAAATGTATAGTTAAGAAGTAACATACACTAAATAGCTTTAAGAAAATTTATAACTGAATGATGTAAGAAACCAAAAGAAATTAATGAAGCAATTGTTAATAAAAAATTGAAAAAAATATAATGCAATGTAATATGTAAAAGAATTTTGTAATGTATAAAATTTTAATACAAGCCTATTATATTCAATCTTTTTATTAATTATTCATTATTCAATGTATAAAATTGGAGTTCTACTTAATTTGGAATATGTCTCAATGAACGAAAGCTATTTAAAGTTTATAAACTTATATCTTCAAGGCAATAACTTAATTTCTGTATAATTGCTAGAACTGTAATTGTTGTTAATACCATTTTTAAAAGTTTATATGCAATAACTGGTCTCAATATAAAATAAAAATAAGTGACTACTAAATTGTTTTATTTACTTATAAAAATTTTAATGAATGAAGATAATAATGAATAGTCTTGGAAAATTTGAATTCAACGACTAAATAATTTTAAATTGAATTATTCTATGTTTTGTTTAAATTTGATCTATTTCAATAAGACTAAGATAGGATTTGGGATTAGGATAAGTGAAGGTTTTTCATAAATGACAAGATAATTTTTCATTATTAGTCTTATTTATTTTAATCTATTCAAACTTATAAAATAATTACATTAAATTTAATGACTTGAAGTACAAACAAAATTACACTTACAAAAAATCAGTCATAGAGAGAAAGATACTGGTATTATAAACAAACAAATACTTATTTAATAAATAATTGAATATTTATTTTTTAGGTTTCTCTTCTTTGGAGTCTTTGACACATTTCTTGTCACAATTTTGGTCACGGATGGCTGGTTTTCCCGTATGTTCGATCTTGATGCTTCTCTCGTTGTCTTGTTTAGGAATGTTTTTTCTAGGAGCAGTGATGGTCAATACTCCATCAGATGACAATGAAGAAGAGACTTGATCAATGTCACATTGTTCTGGAATCATGTACTTGCGTACAAACTGGCGAGAGATCCATCCATGTTCATCTTGCTTCTCTTCATGTTTAGCTTCGACGACGACGAACTTATCCACGACCTTAACGTTGATCTCATCAGGTTTAAACTGTTGGACGTCTAAGATGACTTGGAATTTGTTTTTGTCTGCGTTGACTGTGGATGTGCCAGTGTCGCCTTTGCGGAGAAGTTCACCCCATGGTCGGTAATAGAGAAGCGGATTCCTGGTTCTTCTTTCCAAAGGTGCAAAGTATCGTTCCAGGATTTGAGGTGACAGAAGTTGGTCCTGGTGAAGTCCAAGGCCGAAATCCTGGTCGAAGAGTCGATGAGGACGGTCGAGATCTTCCCACCAGTCAGAGAATAACAATGGTACAAGTGCCATCTTTTTCTTCAATTAATTTCACTCCACAAATACGTATAAGGTAAGTAGTAAGAGTTGCGTAGAACGCTAAGAGTTCGCTTATGCGATGTGTTTTGTTTGCTTGCTTTGATTTGACTGTGCTCTAGCAGCAAGCGCTTGGCTTTATATATGGTCGAGCCGGGTTAACTGAAGTTTCTCGAACGTTCGAGATCGAAAACATCAATTCTATTGCAAAAAAATATTAAAAACTATTTATAATATAGTGGAAAATTAATTTATTATTCTTTATTTTATAAAATTATAAATTTTTAATTCAAAAATTGAGAAAATTATAAAAATTCATCGTTTGTTTAGAGTGAGACAGCGAGAATGTACTACGTTGGGTGATGTTTGCTGAACGTCAGAGTGTAAAAAATATATTTTTAGTGTGAAAAAGTAGCAAAAATGTGCATAAATATTGAAAAAAAGATTCTTAGATCTATAATTTATAAAATAAATTAGTTTTTGATTAAATAATTGTGGAAACTTATAAAAAAATTCATTTGTTTTGAAGGTGAAACAGAGATAGTATCTATACTCGATGTTTCTCGAATACTCTCGGCATAGTACGTTGGAAGGTTCTTGAACACAACACGATGATTGATTCTTTATAAAACGTTTTAGAACGACTAATTTTTATTTTTATTGATTGAACAACCTGAACAATTAACTTGTTATGCAAAAATAAATATAAAAACTATTCTAAATTTAAAATCCGCTATATTTACCAACAGTAACTCATTAAATTAAGTCTTAAGACCATAATTAATCTATTTACATCACAAAAGTATCAACAAATGTGTTTGGAGGTACATTTTCTTGTATTTTCACGAAAATGTTTGAAATATTTGCAAAATTATGGCATAAATTTTGAATTCTAGCTGAAAGTAAATTCTTTTATTTATCATAATAATTTCATTGTCTAAATTTGTTTTTTTGCATAGTAACAAGTTCTATATACGTGTAATAGTGTAATTCTTATTAGGGTGAATATATTTTTTGGTTTTCTAGTGTCAGTTACAAAGACGGTTAGAAATGTTTTCAGTTTGATGGTGAAGTGGAGAAGAACGGAGAAGGAACCGTCAGTTTCGCGAATTTTCTAGAGCACGTATTATCCGAGTCTTCTTTGTGTGTCATATGCTATATATTATGCATCATATACTACACACATACACAAACATATAATTATATTTTTTTTTGTACGATACGTACTGTCAGTGATAAAAAAATTACATTCCTCTTATTTACTCAATGAAATGTTCATCTGCTTGTCCATATTTTTTTTTCTGTACACATAAGATATATTATCATTTTGAAGTTCACCAGTGAAGTGTCTGATTTGAGTTCTAATATTTTTAACGTGTTTTATTTGTTTTTTATTCTTTTAATATCTAATATATTATTCAATTTTTTATTATAAATAGTTTTATATATATTACTATCTGAAGATTAATAAATATTTTTGCAAAAGCTTAAAAAGTGTAATCTACTTTTACTTTGGTAGTAATATGTCAAATAAAGCTGACATAAAACGTCTTAAATTGATAAAAATCTTATTTCAGCATAAAAAAAGATATAATTTTTCTCAGTCAGGTCCTTTACATAATAACAGGATATTGACCTTGGCGGCTAACTGTTGCTTGGAGTGAATTTTTATTTGATTTCCCTTTCAGTGGTAACCAACTGAGTCCACCAACATAGATAAAATCAATACTTTTTCCACTATGGTTTTACTTTATTTTCTACGTTTTTATTTAATTGACACACTTTATACTTGATCAATACAGTTGGTAAAATGTGCAAAAATAAAACCTCTTGTGTGTTTTAGGGATTCGAAACATCAAGCTATAAATACATACCATAATAAAATTTGTGGACTCATATGATTATGAGAAATATTACTGTATGTACATAGTTATCTGAGCATATATATATCTGTTTAGTCGATTACATCTCCAAAATAACTCTTGATAAGCGAAAAAATGCCAGCTTTATGTAACTTTATTCTAATCATCAAATAAATTTTTGATTTTGGAGTTAGGAAACATGGAGCTGAAAAAAAAATTGATTGAAAATAATGTTGAAATGGAAATAACTTTTATGAAGTTTTATTATGCAATAAATTTATAAATTTTGTATATCATTATTTGGTGTTTTTATTGATAAATTGAATGTAATCCATACTGGATGTGAATTGGTTTGACTCATTGTTCTAAAATTATTTACTTAGTAAGTGGCATATTTATTTATAAATAAACTGGATGTTTAAATTTAGTTATTTCTATTTTATAAACAATTAAAATTTTTATATGGACATATAACACTAATTTAATACATTGCAAATTAAGAGCTCAATTAAATTATTCTAGAAGAATAAATCTTAAATAATTTTATACAATGCAAATATTATATTGTATGAAAATATGTAAAATTATTATTCTTTTTTTTATGTAAATCAGTAGAAAATTTACTAAGTAATGAAAAAAATGTATTTAAAGTTATAAAATATTAATTTAATGTATCATAATTTAAATGTATGCAATAAAAATATTTATTTATATTCAATAAAAAATTTTATGAAATAAAAATAAAAACTGCTACGAATCATATTTTCTTTTAAGTTTTATTTATATAATTTTTCCTATGAGATTATTTTGTGGTAACTGTTTTATCAGATACAAGTTTTATTAAAATTTCTAATTCTGCAAATTAGTTTCTAACTTTTTCTTTTCATTGCAATAAATTTCAATGAGAAAAGTAACAAATGTTTTTGTGAAAATTGAAGTAAATGAAGATGAAGATTTTGGAATAATTTAATTTGACAGAAACAGAAAAAATTCAACTCCAACCAATAGCAAAATTCTCTTTACGTAGTTATATTTTATTATTTTCTCAAACTAATTTACTTAGTTGAAATTATTTTCCTGCCTAGCTTCTACTAAATATAACTCATTTAAATTTGGATTTATTTCCCCCAAGGAAAAGTTAATTTTTTTTTAAAAACTGGAAGGGATGATAGAAAAAAAAATCATGAACACATATTTCAAGTTAAAAATACTTGTTTATTTAATGAGAGATTCAACTGCTACAATTGAACAATAGTTATACTTTACTTTAAAAGTAAAATGAAAGACTGAATATTTAATGTCAATAGGTATTGATGATAATAAATAACCTAAACTTATCTATGACTTAAAAAAGTACAAAAAAAAATGAAATAAGTCTTTTAAAATAAATGCAAATGGCTTTCTAAGTTTATGAAGCTTCAGCTTTCTTCTCCTGCTCAGGTTCAGCGTCTCGAATGGCTGGTTTTCCAGTGTGCTCTATGTTGATCTTCCTCTCCCCTTCAATCTTTGGTTGATCTTTTCGAGGAACGATGATAGTTAAAACACCGTCTGACGAAAGTTTTGATGACACTTGATCGATATCACACTGCTCTGGAATCAGGTATCTCCGAGTAAATTGCCTGGAGATGAAGCCATGTTCGTCCTGTTTCTCTTCATGTTTTCCTTCAATCACCACTGATCGGTCAACAACCTTGACATTGATTTCTTCAGGTGCAAACTGCTGCACATCCAGAGAAACTTGGAACTGATTTTTGTCAGCTTTAACAGTAGAAGCACCACCTTGATTTTTGCGAATAAGTTCAGCCCATGGTCGTTTATAGAAAAATGGACATTTGGATGTTGATCGTGGTGTCAATGTATATTGTTGTAGGATTCTTGGTGCCAATGTCTCAGGGCGGATCCCCAGGCCAAAATCTTGATCCCAGATACTGTGAGGGCTTTCCAAATCTTCCAACCAATCGAGATATCGGAATGGATAGATGTTACACAGACTCATTGTTCTTCTTAGTTCACTTAATAGCACTATTAACAGTGATTAAATGTATTAGGATTACTTAGCGAGATGCTAACTGTTCAAATTTCTTTTTCAGACTGATGTCTCTGGCACCCTAGCAACCGTATTTATGTTATGAGTCTAGTGGCGCTGCAGATGCCGGCCGGCGAAATTTCGCGAAAAGCCTAGAAGGTTCGAGAACATTCTGTCATAAAACAAAACATTCAACTATCTGTAAAATTTAAATTTATGCATTTTTAATCTATTGATTTACAAAGATGTTTATTAGCAATGACAACTAAAATTTAAATCATTTAAATAGTCTAGTAATTATTTATATGCCTTGTGTATTTTTAGAGATACAAAAACCTATTGATTTTTTCAGATAAATGTGTTTTTTAGGCTTACTTTGACCTTCTAGGATGTTCTCTAAGGTTAATGGAAATCTTCGCATTGGAATATAATACTTTTATTTAGATCATAGTCCAAATATTTAATCGTAAAAATAACGATACATTCAAGTATACTTTGTACTTCAAGTCATTACCGAGATACATTCGTGGCAGCACTTACTTATTTCAAATAAAACATTTAGGAGGTATAAAAATATTTGAATTTAACATAATCGGAAATATTTTCAATTTAACGTAATCAGAAATCATATATGTATGTATCTCATGTCAACAACCAACAGATTCATCATCGAGAATGTTCACGAGTATTCCATTGTTATTTTTATCAATAGAATTAAAAGAAAAAAAAAAATTATTTATATGACATGCAAATTAAATGATATTTTAATTGTAAATAAGACTTAGAAGTTAAATTATATTAATATCAATGAATCGTTAATTAAAAAAATGTACGTTTTTTTCATAGAACGTTCTCAAAACGTTGAGAAAACGATTGCTCTCGAACTTCGCAGATGGCCCTCCGGTGCTATATAAACCGGGACGACGTCAACACCCGTCAGTTGAGAAATTGCAAAGCAACAGTGAACTTCAAAACTTTAAAAAGTTATTTTAAACGTATCTAAGTGTACAACACTAAATGCGATCAAGGATGTCTATCGTACCAAAATTGTTCTCTCATTGGTGGGAAACCTTGGATCGTCCACATCGTTTGATGGATCAACATTTTGGCATGACGTTGAATCCTGATCGAGTATTCAGAGAAGTCGATCGTGCCTTCAGAGATTTTGATCGTCATTTTCCATCAGTCTACTACAGACCATGGGCAGATCTCATGAGAGAAAATGACAATAGAGGATGTTCAGTTGTCAAAGCAGACAAGGATAAATTCCAAGTCACCTTGGACGTCCAGCAGTTCAAGCCTGAAGAAGTCAACGTTAAGATCGTGGACAACTGTGTCGTTGTTGAAGGCAAACACGAAGAGAAACAGGACGATCATGGTATGATCTCCAGACAGTTTGTCAGGAAATACATGATTCCAGAACAGTGTGACATTGAGAAAACCACCAGTACGTTGTCATCAGATGGAGTACTTACCATCACAGCTCCTAGAAAACCAGAAGCTCTGGAATCAAAGAAAGAAAAACCTATCAAGATTGAACATACTGGAAAACCTGCTGTGGAAAATCGAGAAGAACCAAAGAGGATTGCCCAGGCACAGTAAAGTCATTTCATTTCATTTTTGTAATTTAAATTATTCATATTGTTTAAAATGAAACTGTTCATTTTTGTATTTTTTTCATAAGTTTATATTAAATTTTTAATAGCTTTAAAGTTCTCGTATGTACAACGTATTCGTACTATTACTCAGACTGTGTTATGTAAAGTTGTTTGATGTGTAAATTATGATGGCGTAAATAAATAATAAAAAATTTTCCCATATAAAAATAATTATTGTTGTCTTTATTTCAATAAAACAATCCTGTCCTCTACCTTTATCCTTTCATTTGAAGATTATTTTTTTTTAATAATTAAATATTTTTAATCAATTATTGAATTTTTAATTTAAATAATCGGATTTCAAATAGAATTACAAGTATTTATTTTATTAGACTGTTCAACATTTATTGTTATTGAATAGCTAGTTACATAATATTTAAAAAAAAAATTTTTCCTTACTTTTAAACATCTCATTCACATTCATAAATAAAATTATAATTGGCTTTCGAATTGAAAATATTTCTTTAATTTACTTTTATTCAATTTATTATCTGGAGTAAATAATTTCAATAATTTTATAAATGAACAGCTTCAGCAAAAATTTATTATATTGATTTTTATTTTGTTACTTAGAGTTTAAAAATAAAAACTTCTATTTTTATGTAAATCAACTATTAGTTATTTAATTTCTATCTTAAACTTTGATTTTTAAATTCTATGTCAAGTTATTCACCTTGAAGTTTATTGTACTTTTACCTATGACGATCAAACATATTCGATACGTGTGAATTCTATCTACAAACGATTGTAAACGTTTGGTTAAAGTACTACAGAGAATGAAAGTGAATAGTAAGATCAATAAATGGAATTAATTGTAAGTAAGTCTTAAAATTGTAATAGTAATTGATGATGTACAGCTGAAAATTTTTTTAAGTTGATTTTTGTTAAGCAAATTTTATTTATTTACCATTTAATGACAAAACGTTGTGTGTCGTTACAAATGAGAAATTTGAAATGGTGCTATTAACGCCACCTTGTGAATAAAAAATGAACTAAAAAGGTAAACAAACATTCCATTTTTTAAATTATATCAATTGATCAAAAAACATAAGAAGATAGCAACATAATAAATAAATATAAGTTAAATAAATAAAAATTAAATTTTCTGTGAACAAGTTTAAGTTTAATTAACAAATTTATAAAAAATCGATTATTATGGTATTCATATAATTAATAAAAAAATTAATGATTTTTATTTTTTGATAGGTTAAATTATCAGCTTATTAAATCCAATAAAATTTGAGTTTTTACAATTTAATTAAAAAATGTATCATTATTTTTTGATAAAGTCAGTAATGCTCAAAAGCCATTGAACTCCGTCTATCTACGCGTTCGAGAATGCTCGAAACACAACGAGAATTGTGTAGCATGTTCTATACATACATCATGTATCACAACACTAATTAATTATTTATGTAATGATTTTTTGTAATAAATTATTGAGTTATTTAAAATGTATTAAAATGTATAAAATTCATCATTTATTACTCAATTATTATTTTTTTCCATTTTTTAATTCATTTTTCAGCGCTGCGAACATTCTCGAGGCTTCAGTTATCAAGACAGTTCTAGGCATTTCTCGTGCTCCAATCCCCCCACTCTATCCAACTGGCTCAAGTCTATAAAACCGGCGCACTCCGCGGTACTCCATCAGTCTGAAAACAAATCAATAAGTGAATACTTCTAAGCAAATTATATTTGCGCCTTACCTTATCTCTTGTGAGATATTACTGTAATTTGTGAAGTGATAAGTGAGAATATCAAGTACAAACATGTCTCTCATTCCGATGTTATTTTCTAACTGGTGGGAAGACCTAGATCGACCACATCATCTTTTTGATCAACATTTTGGACTTGGATTGAACACCCATGATCTTGCTCGTGAATTAAGATCAGAGCCAAGTTTACTAGTGTTTCGTCCAGGAAGAAGACACCACCAGTACCATCCTTATGAAAAATCCATCGCTCGTCGCTCAACTGGAGGAGTATCTACTCTACAAGCTGACAAAAATAAATTTCAAGTAAGCTTGGATGTTCAGCAATTCGCTCCCGAGGAAATCAACGTCAAAGTGTCGGGACGTCATGTCATTGTAGAAGGAAAGCATGAAGAAAAACAAGATGAACATGGTTTTATTTCTCGACAATTTGTGCGCAGATACATGATTCCAGAACAGTGCGACATCGATCAAGTGGAATCACATCTTTCAAGCGATGGAGTCCTCACCATCATGGCGCCCAAAAAGAAAGCGCTGGAAGATAAATCAGAGAGATCCATTCCAATCCACCAAACTGGTCAGCCAGCAATTACTGATGCTGAATCTGCCAAGGGTAGTGAATCTAAAGAATCACCACCTCACAAGACTCCAGTAACTAGAGCTCAGGAAAAAGCGTCAAAGACTGTTAAAGCAGCTTAAAAATATCTTATAAGTTAGACTTTTTCATTTTCATTCATTTTTAATTTATTTATCATTTCTCATGTTATAAACATGTCAGTTTTTTGTGATAAACTATAAAAATTTTAAGAAAGTATTCTAAATAACTTGTTTCGTACAAATAGATGTATGACTTATGTAAGATTGTTTTGTATTAGAATTTTTCTAATAAAATGTGTGACTTAAAAATTAAAAAATGCCTTATTATTTACTTTTTTTTAAATTTAAAGTCTTGTAAAGAAGTCTGATGATTAAACGACAATATTTAATAATTTTTATTGTAAATAATTGGAATTTTTTATTTGACACATAAAGCTGATAAAAAAAAGCATGTATTTTTGCAAAATACATCTATTTTGAAAACTTCTATAGATTTTTCAATGAAAGAGATTTAAAATGCATACATGTCCATATCACTTAAAAATTTCATTAAAAAAAATAAAAACTATTGTTAACAACAAAATATATATTTGGCCAAACTGTTCTAAATAATAAATTAAAAAATAATTTGTTTTGAGTGTAATTATAATACATAGCTAGCAGTAAATGAATTTAATATTTACTCACAAAAAAATAATTAAATTTTCTACAACAATAATCCTTTATTCTTTATATTTTGTATATTTTCAATATTCACAGTAAATAAATAAATTGATTAATAATAAATAAAATAATTGGAAAAAAAGTTTCAATACTTTGATGTGATAGCAAATTTTGGAAAGTAAAGTTAAAATACATCAAATAAATCCATTAATTTATTTATTTTAGTGAATATAATAAAAATTTTTAATAAATACATCATTTTAATATAATTATTGAAAAAACAGCAATTTAAATTTGAAAAAGTTCATTACACTCACTATTGAGCTTTCAAATATGTATATTTACTGTCAATACATGAATGTATCGTGTCAACATCATACCTCAATATGCAATAACATAGAAATGTTGAAAAAAATAAATGATTATTTTTAAATAATTGACTCATAATGATCATACTTATTGCCAGATCTTACTTGTATACTATTTATATATAAATTCAATTATATGAATCATCATTTGCAATGTAAAAGTGTTTCTAGACTTCATAAATTTTAGGTTATCTGAAGATAATTGTTATAAAAAAATTATTCTTCATCAAAGTGATAACAAATAACATTTGATATATAAGAATAAGCACGTGATTATTTTCTATCTACTATGTATTTATAACTCAGTATAAGTTAGTATTGAGTGTCATTACTCTTCTTGTTTAGCTGTAAAGTTTTAGGTTAACCTTTTTGAAGTAAACCACAAACAGAAAAGAAATGTGATATTTAAAAAATAATTCATAAAATTCATAACACTGAACAATATATAATTCTAAATCATGGATACCACTGTAAATACCGTGGAAAATGATTATACAGAAATAGTTCAAAGACTATCAACCAAACAAAAATGGGCTTTTGGTGTAGGTCATGTTTTAAATGACATTTGTGCATCCATGTGGTTTACGTACTTAATTGTATTCTTTCATTTTGTACTGGGATTTGATCCTGTTTCGTCAGGGATTGTTTTATTAATTGGTCAAGTAGCTGATGCTTTCTCTACACCATTTATTGGCTTACAATCTGATAAAGATGATGATTTTTGGCTGTGCAAATATGGAAAGAGGAAAACATGGCATTTAATAGGTATAAAACTAAATATTTAAAATTATTTTACTATATACGTTTGATCATATTTCACCATACTAATAAAAAAATAATTTTATTTAATTTTCATGTTCCAGGAACAATATGTGTGATTGTCAGTTTTCCATTCATATTTTCTCCATGTATTAATTGCAATCATACACATAAATGGGCACAATTAGTTTATTATTCAGCTTTTATAATCATTTTTCAATTTGGTTGGGCGGCTGTTCAAATTTCTCATTTATCTTTGATACCAGATCTTACTCCAACAGAGCATGAAAGGACAGAGTTGACAGTAATCAGGTAATAATTAGTGATCAATGAATATTAACAAACCATGGAGCATTAGTTAATGGAAAGTAATGTATAATCAAAAAATTAACATTTGTTAATTTTCAAAGACGACGCTGTGTATTGAATGTTCACAATACTTCATCAAATATTTATAAGATTACTTTATAATCGACGATATTGATTACAAATCACAGACGAGTAATAAATTATTTAATGTTTTAGGTATATTTTTACGGTATTTTCAAATGTGTTTGTTTATTGTATTACTTGGGCAGTATTACATATAACAAGTGAAAATTCTACGAATCAAATTGGACCAAATGATGTATATAAATTTCAACATATTGTAATAATCGGAATAGTAATTGGTACAATTGCATCAATTGTATTTCATACTTTCACTCGAGAAGGTGTTCGTGATTCTAGTGGTAATATATTGGAAATTATAAAATCTATTAATCAATCAATGCATTTATTAAAATTGTAATTATAAATTTGTTAGGCCTTATTCGTCGAGAACAACGATCAGCCTCATCGTATTTAAAAGACATTAAATTTTATCAGGTTGCTGGAGTTTACATGCCAACAAGATTATTTGTAAATATATCACAAATATATATGCCAATATATCTTCACGAGAGTTTGAAGATGCCAGCAACAGCATTGGCTATAATACCTTTGATAATGTACCTGAGTAGCTTTAAAGTATCATTAGTTATTGAAAAAATTAACACTAAATTGGGACGAAAAGTTGCTTATTCCATCGGAGTGACTCTGGGTTTATTGGCATGTGTATGGATATGGTTCGGTCAAGGAAAGACTTTTATCAACTATGAAATATACCCTGTATCATTATTATTAGGTAAAATATACTGTCATATTAATTATATTAATTAATAATTGAGGTTTGTTGATAAAAAAGTAACAATTGTTTTTAATTATTTGACTAATTAAGGTGCCAGTGGATCTATTATGCTGGTGACAAGTCTTGGGGTGACAGCAGATCTAATTGGTCACAATGTAGACAGTAGTGCATTTGTATTTGGTGCTATGAGCTTTACAGATAAACTATGTAACGGAGTTGTTGTGATGATAATTCAATATGTGTGAGTACTATTTTTGATAAGAAATCAAGTTCATATGAATCTACTGCCACATTATATTAAATATTGTATGAAATTGATCAAATAAGATGTGTTATCATTGGTAATGAAACAATCAAATAGATCGTAAAAAGATTAGCTATGAAAAAAGTTTAGTTTACTAGTGCTTATGGGCACAATTGGCAGTAATATCGTATTTTTTTGTTTTAAGTTTGATGATATTTAGTAAGATAATCATGTTAAAAATTCCATTAAATATAAATAATGAAGTATAATAATTTTTACTAATTTACACTTGGAAGTTAAAAACGGATAGCTGAAATGTTTGTCTTATGGACGTAGATTATTTTTTTAAGGTTAATAATTATTGCAAAAGTATTTATAAAGTGGTACTTTAATGTTAAATTTGTTTTAACCAGACGATGCACTAAAAATTGTCCAACTTATTATCGAGACGTTCTGAGTTTCGTTTGTGGAGGAGCAGCTTTAATTGGATTCATTATGTTGATGTCCATCAAGAAAAATTCAGATCATAATTCTGGTAAGTTACTAATTCACATTTTTTTCTATAATTTGAACAATTTTTAGACTCTAACAATAAGAAAAGAACTATTCCAATTCTCTGTTTATTTGATTTCAACTTCTTATTTTCAAATATTAATCTCATATTAAAAATTCTGATTTTTTAAAACACTTGAAATATAAAGTTTTAACTGCTCATTAGACTGAACGCATGTTTCTGAGAAACTTTGCAGCATATGTTTTTGCATGAAGTTAAAATCTGCATTTTTAACATGAAATTTCTTTACTGTAATAGTACTATGATTAGTAAATATTCAATGATTATGAGTACTAATTCAACAATTTCTGAACATGAGAAGGAAACAAATTTAAATATTAAGTACGTGTCTTGAATAATATAATTTATGATACATCTTTTCAAAGCTTTATGTTTTGTTTTTAATTTCTAAGTATTTTTATACAGTTTTCCAATGCTTTTTTATTGATTCATAGGCTTTTAAATTTATAGAATTTTCAGTATATACTATATAATTTGTGAATATTTTAAACAGTAGATATTTGTCTGTAGAAATCAATCACTGTTCTTAGATATTTTTTTAATGCAAACGCTATGATAGACATTGGAAATAAGTAATAATACATTTTACACCTAGGGAAGGAAAATAGTCTAGCTCAAACCACGTGTAAAATTGATCGATCAAACGAAGTGTCTCGTTCGAAGATGATAGTATTGTAGATCTTTAGAGTTCAAATGATAGTTTTTTCTTTCTTTTTTTTTTTAAATATCCATTTATGTGGCATGTAAATACATAATATTTTTCTTTCGTATATATTCTACATTCATTTATTTAAATTTTAACGAAACATACATAGAATGTAACTAAATTATCTTTACATTTACAAAGAAGAACACTCATCACTTAGGTAATATTATTTAAACATACTTTCAACACCCTTATGCATTTTTTCTTATTTATCTCTCAGAATAACTAATGCAAACTGATCATTCTGAGCTTGAATGGGTTTATTATAAAACTTGAAAAATACTTGAGAATTAGGTGAACAGCCAGCACTGCGCTTTACAGTCGCAATGTCTACTCCCCGCTTGTACGCTGCTGATACTGCGCATGTCATGTACTATGAGCAGTGAATTGATTGGTCTCTATACCAGCTTTACTCAAAAATTCCTTCATCCAATGTCCTATTGTTTGTGACGATGCTGCTCCAAAGAGTTTCATTGTTGTAAGAAATCATCTCCTTGTTTCCTTATTTTGATGTTCCTTAATACATTCTATATATCCTAATATTGCGGAAGCTACACATAAGCCAGGACGCTCTTGGAAAAAAGATAACACCAACTCTGGTTGAAATGATCCAGGTCTTGAAGTCTTTAATAATTCCGTAATTTTAATTTTTATTCCCATGCTAGACTTTTCTGTTATCTATATTTATGCTAGCTAGAGTTTGGAGTCTCTGAGCGGTTGCCAGCGCCAGCAATGTTGCTAATCTCTCAGAGATTTCCTTTAATTTTAAGTCTCTATTTGCAGCCAGTCTCTCAATGTGTGCAAGAACTGGAGCCACATCCCAAGTTGTAAAATATTTAGGCTTAGAGTTGTGTTAAGTGAACTATAATTCGTCCCTTTCATAAACTCAGTATTCAAAAATTTTATAATATTAGTCATTTCAGTCTGATAAGGATCCCATCCATATGTGTGAGCAAATTCCCACGAACGTTTGATGCTGCATTTGTATTGCTTGAGGGTTGATTTAGCAATTGACTTCACTACTACATCCGTTTCCTCTTCTGCTAAATTTCTTCTTACATATGACGACCTGATAACTTGCCAGCCACTAGGGAAAGCTCGGATGCTAGGGGATGGCTCATATTCCTGCAAGGAGATAACAAGAGTTTGTCATGAGGTTTAAATGTTCCCATTCCGAATCGATATTCTCATTACGTGATGCTTTATCAGCATCTATATTATCGGATGAAGCAATATATAAGGCTTTTAACCAGACTGTCCTTTCCTCACACCATTTCCAGATTTCTCTGGCGAGCTCACTAAGATGCACTAATTGAACACCTCCAGCTTTGTTCACATATGAAATGGCTGTTGTATTATCTAGTCTTAATAAAATTTCACATTTTGATAACTCAGATGCAAAACATTTCATTGCAAAAAGAGCAGCTTTTAATTCAAGAAAATTTATGTGTTTCTTCTTCTCTTGCTCATCCCAATAACCTGAAGTCTTTATACCATTGCAATAACAGCTCCATCCAGACAGAGATGCATCCGAGAATATTTCTAAGCAATAATTTTGACTCCTTATTGGATTGATACCAATCCTTGCATTCTCCTTCCACCAGAGCAAATCTTCTATCAGCCAGTCAGCTATCAAAATCTTTTCTTCGTAGTTTCCTCCTTGTATCAACAATGATATGTACTTCTGTCGTTCTAATCTCTTGCAGTGCATAACACCATAAGCCACCGCTAGGCATGCTGCAGTCAATACTCCTAAAAATTCTGCAAATTTCTGTATCTTGTATTCTTTCCCCACCTTGAATTCATTCACTAGCTGTATTATTTGTTGTTTCTTCTTGTCTGGTAGGTTAAGTGAAAAATTGACAGAATCAATAATAAAACTCAGATACTTGCATTTCTATTTAGCAACTACACAACTTTTCTTGTAGTTTATAACACTAGCAGTACAACACTAGCAGCATGCCCTCAGTCCTCAATTTATTGACCACTGGCTTCATTAATTTAGTGAAAAAATATGGACTTGTACATAAACCGAAAGGTAGACAGGTAAACTCGAATAATTTGTCCTCAAATCTGAATCTAAGAAACTTCCTATGGTCTCTATATATAGGTACCAGAAAATAGGCATCTTTGAGATCTAAAGATCCTAAAAAATCTTCCCGAGATAACAAACCAATAACAGATTTTATGTCCTCTAATTTAAAATGAAGTGGCTCGATAAATTTGTTTAATTTTTTGAGATTGAATATGAAATGGCTTGTACCATCAGGTTTTAGTATGAGACAATAAGTCGAGATAAACTGATCATCGCTCTATTCACACTCTTCAACGGACCCTTTCTTCAACAACTCATTAACTTCTACTCTAATCTTTTTTGTCTCATTGACTGAAAATATTTTTTCAGCTGGACTAGTATTCTGATATGGTGTCGTTCTAAAAAGAATCTTATAACCACCTAGATTTTCTAAAATATATCTATCTGTAGTAATTTCTTTCCATCTTTCTATAAAAAACCTTAAACGTCTTGCTGGCTTTTGTACCTTATTTATTTCTTTGACGAGCGGTTGTTGGATCGTGTCGACGTTCTCGATGAACTCTGTGTTCTGTGATACATCTTTGGCTTGAATCTAAGCAGACGACGTTTTGGTTGTTGACCCACCTGACGAAACCCCGTAGGTAACGTATTTCACGTTTTTCTGGTTCCGTATATTTGATGTTTTTGATGTAGATTTATCCTTCATGTCTGCACATGCCTTTTCAATTTCTTTTACATCTTTAACTTTGTCTTTTAAATTATCTCCATAGAGCCACTCATCTGAAAACATTGTGTCCACCATCGGTTTAATGTTCTTATTTAATTGCGGGGTGATAAAAGATTTTCTGGCCACGGATTGCTGATAATACACATCAGTCAGAATTCGTCCTGCATGTGTTATGCACTCTACAAATTCTTGATCCAATTCTTCATGTCCAGCCTCGATAATCATAGAGACTGCTCCACCTAATGCCGATAAGGCAGTTCCAACACAATTTTGTGTATCTATAAAATGTTGTTCCCTTTTCTTTGAAATCTCTGACAATAATGCAACTATTTCAAGATTCAATTTAGGAGCTTTTGTATAGAACTGTCCTTTTCTATTGTACAGTTCTATAACGGCTTTCTTTTTCTTTTCTGGAAATCCCTCTTTCTTCCATTTTAACCATGTATTCATCAATTCTGGATGATATGTTACATCTTTGAACTCATTTTCATTAGGTTCTATTCTTAAAACTTTTAAAGCATTGTCTTCTAATACTGAGTCTTTATCAGCATCTTCCTTCTTAACATTGTCTATGATTTGAATTTCCTCTTCTTCCTCTACAAAAACAAAAGAGATACAGAAAAAACTTTAGAGGGTAGCACTTGTTGTGCGACTGATGAAAATTCATTCTTATTGAATCTTTTTTCATCATCACCCTATATAGTCATATAGACTTGACAACTTTTAAAAGCACTTTTTGTGCAAATTATTGTCTTAAATAGCAAGATGCTATGGTCGTATGGACCACATGCTTTTTTAACTTCCCATTAGAAGTTATTGTAATTGGGTCGATTGGTGAAATTTGAATTTTCATTAAATCTCCATGTTTCAAGATATTTGCAAGCATACTGACATATTTTTAGAATGATGTGTGTGTGTACGTATGTATGTGTGTGTGTATGTATGTATGTATGTATGTGTGTATGTATGTATGTATGTACGGACGTCAGCATTTTTTTCGTTTTCGATATCTTAAGAACGGATCAAGATATCAACTTGAACCAAAATTAATTCGAAAGATATTATTATAAAGAAGACTTGAAAGAAATTTGAACGAATTCGATAGAGCCGTTTTTTTTTATAACAAAATAACTAATAAAAAAATGAAAAGATTAGCTATTTAAAATACTTTTAAGCCAAACAATAACAATTTCATTTGAAAATTAAGTTGATATTGACTAGACATTATTGTTCACAACCAAATATGACTCTTAGCAATCACGCATTGTTTATAACAATGTAAATTTGTTATAAACAATTGAAAATTGTATTTATCGATTAACTGATGCGTATATTACATGGATTTGGATGTTTTCAACAAACATTGATTACAACTATTTAAATTTGTTATAAACAATTACTAATGGTAAGTTCGTCGTTTTAGCACAGACAAAGTGTGCTCAGACTTATTTTTTTCTCTTGAATAGTCTTTTGTATTTTCTCTTTTTGAGACT